GTCTCATCTTTCTCCTGTGGAGCAGCTGGTGGGTTCAAACTGCGAACGATGCAGTTAGCAAACCTACACTTCAACCCACTATGCCACCAGAGATCCGTAATAAAAATCGTTGTTGTTGTTAAGTGCTGTCAAGTCGGTGGGTTTGAACTGCTAACCTTGTGGTTCACAGTCCAGTGCTGATCTTACAGCATGACACCAGCAGTTCACTAATAAAAATAATGTTAATATTTAGTGAACCTTACTACATTGGGTTAGTCCTTTATATAAATAGCCTCTGTCAATTCTCACTGCAAACCAACTGAAGGAATGCAGTAGACTGGCTAGTTGGCCATCACACTTGCTCTCCTTACCTCTGGACACAGTGGTTGTTTTTCCTCATCTTCTTGCAGTTACATGTGGCCATGGGAGTGAGGTCTGACCAATCAAATAGGAGGAAATATAAAGAAGCTTCTTCAAGGCTGGGTTCACATATATTTAACCTATTGTCCACGCTCCTTCACTTCCCTTTTCTGCAGACCAGAAGGCAGAGCTACAAATTGTAAGGGGCCTACTATACTGCTGAAATACCACATTGAAGGTCTCCCTCAAAATACCCACATTGAACTTAGACACTATGTGAACAAAAAATAAACCTGTCGCCCCAAGTCACTGATATTTTGGGGTTGGCTGTTACAGCAGTTAGACTGTATGAAAAGCACTATCATGAGTACAGAGAAATCAAGTAATCTGCTCATGGTCACACAGCTTATGTATGTGTTAAGTGCCGTGGAGTCGGTTCTGACCCATAGTGACCCTGTATACGGTTTCCAAGGAGTGGCTGGTAAGTTTGAGCCACCAACATCATGGTTCAAGTGATTTTGCAGTCCAGTGCATTAACCCACAGTGCCACACAGGACTACACACACACACACACACACACACACAGAGAGAGAGAGAGAGAGAGAGAGCTTAGTAAGTGATAAAGCCTAGACTTTAGTCCATGTTATTAACTGCTAGTCTATTCCTTTTCCACACATTTGCATTTTTCATAGCGACTGTAAAATTGCTCCTATACCTGGTTCTCTACATTTTGGGGAGGTGAGTGGGTTTAGGTCCAAGGCTGGGAATAGAGGAAAGGTAGTTTTCCTCAAATAAATCACTTGACTTCTTTTCTATTACCCATGTAGGAGGAAGACTGTGCTGCAAAAGCAACTTTGCAGGATATCCCTATTACCTTTTGAGAGATTATTCAGAGGTTCGTTGTTGTTGTTATGTGCTGTCAAATCAATTCTGACCCATAGTGAACCTATATAGGGTTTCTGAGGAGCGGCTGTTGATGTTGAACCACTGACCCTGTGATTAAAACTGACTTTTCAGCCCAGTGCATCAGCCCACAGTGCCATAACAAACTACTTCAAAATCTCATCGCTTCAAATATTGTGCCATTGAGTCAATTCTGATTTACAGTGACCCTGTACGAGGTTTATGAAGACTGAGCAGTAAGTTTGAACTGCTGACCTTGCAATGAGCGGGGCAGTGCATATCCTACAGCACCAATATCAAGCATTTATTATCTTGCACAGTTTGGGTCAGTCAGGTATCAGGAGTGCCTAAGTTGATGGCTCCGGCTCAGGGTCTCTGGTGAGGTTGCAATGAAGACTGGCCGAACTGCAGGCATCTGAAGGCTTGATTAGAGGTGGAGGATCCACTTCCATGGGGACTCATTCCATGGCTGGTAAGTTGGTTTGGTTGTTGGGAAGAGGCCTCAGTTCCTTCCCACTGGGCTGTGTGACTGACTGTCCTTACAACATGGGGCCTTGGTTTATGAATAGCAAGGGATTTCAGGAACTAAGGCAAACACTGTAAGGTCTTTGATGACTCATCTTAGAAGTCACATACCTTTTCTTCTATAAATCTTAATGATTTCATAACTACAAATGACCAAACCAACTGTCATTGAGTAGATTCTGAGTCATGGAGACTTCAATGGGTATGATCCTTGTGAAGTAGATTCCAGGCCTTTCTTCTCCAACATGATCTCAAATCACCAACCTTCTAGTTAGCAGCTGAGTGTTTTGTGCCACCCTGAGAGTTCTGTTGATCAGTCCTATCCAGTGTGGGAGAGGACTATACAAGGAGTGAATCACAAGTGGGGAGAATCACCAGCAATCGTTTTGGAAGCTAGCTACTCTCCGGGGCCAATTCATTCTTGCAACACAAATTTGAGGGCCTACTGAGGCACTAGAGACAAAGTGGTGGGCAAAACAGACAAAATACCTTGCTTTTATTAAGCAACCGTTCTAGAAGAGGGCAGATAAGGCCATCATCAATTTAGTAGATAAATTATATAGTGTGTTAGAAAGTGCTTTGGAGAGAGATGAAGAAGAGTAAAGGGGAGGGGAGCACTGAAGATGGGAGCTGGTCATGATTTTAACAGAATGGTTTAGGTAGGCCTTAAGGAGACATGAAGCACGCCATGGGGGTTAATGGATGCAGCATGTTCCAGGAAGTGGGAGAAGCAGGCATGTCATGGGAAGGAAGAGGAATGCAGTCAAGGTGGCTGTAGGAAGGAAACAAAGGGAGAGACATAGGATATGAAACCAGGTAAGTACCAGTGAGGAGAGCAAAGATAGTGTTATGATTTTACAGGCTCTTTGTAAGGCCTTTTTTACTCAAAGAGACATGGGAAGGCACTGGGTAGGTCTTAGCAGGCGAATGATATAATCTAACTTAACATTTTAAGTTTCACTTTGGTGGGTGATATCAGAATCAACAGGCCCACGGTGGAAGCAGGCAAACAAATTAGGAGGCTTCTACAAAAATCCAGACAGAAGATAGCGGTGCCTTACATTAGGGGGCTTTCAGTGAAAGCAGTGAGAAGTCAGATTCTAGACTTATTTGGCAGGTTCTCTAGCATGGGGAGCACGGTGGTTCTACAGGTGCACAGGTGGATGGGTGGAGCCCACCAGCTGTTCTGCGAGAGAAGGACGAGCCTTTCTGTTCCTGCAAAGATTGGCAGCCTTGGAAACCCTATACAGGGTCCCTACGAGTCAGAATTAACTCCAGAGCATGAAACACAACTAGCATGATTAATTTCCCACTCCAGGTCACTGTTTAGGAGGAGCAGCTTTTTGTTTTTAAATAAGATCCCAGAACCGTGGCTGTCAAACTGTGCTCTTCTTGGGAATGCTTCTGGTTCTAACAAGCTCAAGAGGGGTTGCTACTAGGAGCAATGAGATAGGGCACAAGGGTGAAACATCACACCATCTATCTAATCCCAGTTTTATAGGGCAGTTCTGTGTTGACACAAGTTCATAACGTGGGGGGAGGGGCAGAGATTTTTCTTAATCAAGACCAGAAATCACAATGTCCTAAAAAACAACATAAACCATCTATGTGGCCATTCATACAAATCACACAAACAAACACAAATGAGAGTTATGTACAATGATCATTTATAAAGTATAAAATCAAATGCAAATTAAGGATTAGGAAAAAGTATTTGCAACACAAACAACAAAAGTTTAATATTCCTTATATTAAAAGGTCCTTTACAACTTCTCTGATCACAATCACGATAAAAGAAGATCCTGGACAGAGAGGAAATCATAATTGGTCTGATAGGGACTGGTTGTTGTTGTTGTTGTTGTTGTTAGGTGCCTTTGAGTTGGTTCCAACCCATAGCGAGCCTGCACTGGTTTCCAAAGAGCAGCTGGTGAGCTTGGACTGTTCACCTTATGGTTCAACCCAACTTTGCAGTCCAGCGCATACGCCACAGTGCCACACCAGGACTCCAATAGGGACTGGGGGAACCCCTGAAACTATACTCTTTGTTGTTGGTAAGTACCATGGAGTCGGTTCCAACTCATAGTGACCCTGCACAGGGTTTCTGAGGCTGCAAATCTTTATGGGAGCAGAAAGCCTCATCTTTCTCCTGAGGAACAGCTGGTAGTTTCGAACTACCGACCTTAAGGTTAGCAGCTTGATTCATAACCACTACGCAACAGAGCACACCCTTAAAATATGGAACCTAATCCACTCTAGGGGTCAACTTTCAGCTAAATGATGTGTTGTTAAGTGCTGTTGAGTCAGTTTTGACTCATAGAGACCCTTGTATAGGGTTTCAGAGCAGCATCTGGTGGACTTGAGCCACTGACCTTGTGGTTAGCAGTCCAGTGCTTATCCTGCAGCACTACACCAGGATTCCAACAATAATGAACAATTATGAGAAACATAGTCCTCAGAACAATCAGCCACAGGACAGCAAAAGGAGCAACATCAACTCCCAAACACACCTCAAGTGGCAGAAGCCACAGGAAAGAGGGCCCAGTGGAAACAGCCATCCAGGGAGGAAGTGGGAGAGTGCGGTTACATCGAGGGGATTGTAACTAATGCTATGAACAAAACGTGTGTAAACTGTTAAATGGAAAACTAATTTGTTCTGTAAACCTGCAGCCAAGCCACAATGAATGAATAAAAGTAAAATAAATCACATAGAGCAAACCCGATTGGTTGTTCAATTTCCTATTGGTCTCATTAGTCAATCTGAGATACCAGGGAGTCATCTGCTTTGTGACACTGGAAATGCCCATGGGCATTGTGAGAATTTACCAGTGTCATACAACAGTTGGGAGTAATATTTCATAAAATCAATAGAGCAAAAGAATCCCTATATAAACAAAGAAGAGATGCCAAAAATAAAAAAAAAACCTCTAATCAATTCAAAAAACAGTGAAGTAGAAAAATGGGTGGAGATTTTCAAAATGAGGCTCACAATGAACCTCCCTTCACTGGGTTACGGTGAGAATAAGTAACAACTTAGACAAAGTGCTCAGTAAAGGGACCTTGGCTACCACCATTATTAGGACTGTCGTCACCATTATCACCAGCAGCAGCAAATTCATCATCACAACAGTTTCCGAGTCATTAATGATGCACAATTAAGTCAACCCTGAATGCCAATTCCAAAGCAGATGCCTCCACAGAAAATTCTTCTCCGGGAGCCAATAATGATATATTACCTTTTCATGATTTTCGATTAGGATCTCGATAACAATGTTCTGGAATTTGATATCCATGATGGCTGCCACTGTTTCTTCCTGAGGCCGCAGCAAGGTGGGCCCAAACACCACACCAAGGTTTGCCACCGTCATCAAATTCTGCTTGTGGTTATTAGCAACACTGGGAGGAAGGAAAAGAAAGGGGACACATGAGCGAAACAGTACAATGGACGCTGACTTCTCTGCTCCCTTACTGCTTCCAGACACCTCATCCTGAAGAAGTCAGCACTCAGACCATCTTGTTGTAGTTGTAGTTAAGTGCCGTCAGGTCGGTACCGACCAATAGTGACCAAGTGTAGGGTTTCCAAGGGGCAGCTGGTGAGCTTGAACCACCGACCTTGTGATTCACATCGACTTTGCAGTCCAGTGTATTAATCCACTGTGCCACACCAGGACTCCCAGACCATCTTAGGATGCTCAAAAGTCAAACTTTACTCATACCCAAGTTTCTGAAACCACCTGTGTTCGGGCAGTTTTGTTTCAGGAGACGGCCTTCTTTATCTTTCCATTTTACCTAAAACAACCAATCTTCGAACCAAAGCAACCGCCTCTCCCAATCAGCAAGTACAGGTAACTGCTAATCCCTCTTAGTTATAAGTCCTGCATTTGGTTGTTGCTTACACTGCTGGAATCATGAACATTTCCTCTAGTCCAAATATAAAACCTCATGGCAGCTTGGGTCCATTTGCAAACACAGGCACAAGATAGACTTAATTTTTTAAATAGGTAGACAGGAACATTTAAAACCAAGTCAGGAAATTCAGCATTTTAAACTCTAAGTATTAAAGCCCCATCACATTAAACACGTGGCTCACACTGAGCGAATCATGTGGCATAAACAGAGATAAAAATGCACTCATAAATATCCACATGGATGGCTGTGTTTATATTGTCACTTACACTTAAAGTCTACGGAAAAGCAACACCAGCAGCAGCAGTAAGCTGGGTCTGAGCAATTTTCTAAATACATATATGTATATTTCAGGATAAACAAATAGTCAAAACATGTATCTGAACCCTAAGCCCAGGTCACAGTGACCTAGCGATAAAACTCTATTGTTCACCTGTTGGTTCCCCATATAAAATATACACATTATCTATAGACAACAAGAACAAACTGCAACTTAAGGTTTTTCAGTATTCTTAAGAAAATTTCCCAAATTACCTGTTATAAGAAGGAAGCGATTCATTACTAACATGAAGGTGCAGGGAGATCAGGAACAGAAAGGCAGTTTGCACATCCTGAACACTTAAATGTGCTCATGAGGAATCTGTACCTGGACCAAGAAGCAGTTGTTCGAACAGAACATGGGAACAATGAATAGTTTAAAATTAAGAAAGGTGTGTGACAGGGTTGTATTCTTTCACTATACTTAATTTAACCTGTATGCTGAGCAAATAATCAGAGAAGCTGGGTTATATGAAGAAAAGCATGGCATCAGGATTAGAAGAAGACTCATTAACAGCCTGTAATATACAGATGATACAACTTTGCTTACTGAAAGTGAAGAGGACTTAAAATATTTACTGATGAAGGTCAAAGACCATGGCCTTCATTATGGATTGCACCTCAATGTAAAGAAAACAAAAATCCTCACCACTGGGCCAATAAACAACACTCTTATCAACGGAGAAAAGATTGAAGTTGTCAAAAACTTCATTCTTCTTAGATCACCTATCAACACTCACGGAAGCAGCAGTCAAGAAATCAAACGACGTATTGCATTAGACAAATCTGCTGCACAAGACCTTTTTAAAGTGTTGAAGAGCAAGGATGTCAGCTTGAGGACTAAGGTGTACCTGACCCAAGCCATGGTATTTTCAATAACTTCATATGCATGCAAAAGCTGGACAGTGAATAAGGAAGAACACAGATGAATTAATGCTTTTGAGTTATGGTGTTAGAGGAGAATATTCAAAGTGCCATGGGCTGCCAAAAGAACCAACAGATCTGTGTTGGGAGAAGTGTAGCCAGGGTTCTCTTTGGAGGCTTCGTCTCTCATACTTTGGACATGTCAGGAGGGACCAGTCACTGGATAAGGATACATGTTTGGTAAGGTGGAGGCCAGAGAAAAAGAGGAAGATCCCAGTGAGATGGATTGGCAAAGTGGCAGCATCAATGGGCTCAAGCATGGCGACAATTGTGAGGTTGACCCAGGACTAGGCAGTGTTTTGTTCTGTTGTGCATAGGGTTGCTATGAGTCAGTACCGACTCGATGGAACCTAACAACAACAACAACAACATCTCCCTAGCATTTAGGGCTATTTATACTGGGTATTTGATTTCACATGATTCTATTAATGCCGTCACTGTTTCCTTTTCATGCCTCTATTCTGTAGAAAGGAGTCCTGGTGTGGCCCTGCGGGTTAATGCGCTGAACTGCAATGCCAACTTGAACTGCAAGGTTGGCTGTTCAAGCTTACCAGCCGCTTTCTCAGAAACCCTGTACAGGGTCACTATGGGTCGGAACTGAGTTAATGGCACTTAACAACAACTATTCTGTAGAAGGAAAAGAAGCTCTACCACCTTAAATGCTGAAATACTTTAGTGAAAGATGACATCAACCAATTTTATCATCACATGCATCATTTTGTACAATCTTCTACAGCAAAGAGTTTAATTTGATTTAAAAAACAAAACAAAAAAAAAACCTTTCCTCTTCTAGAAGGAGCAGGGTGTGGTCAGGCTAATGAAACTTTAACTGTGGTCTTGCCCAGTTAAGAAGAGGATTTACTTTTGACTGCTAAGCAACACCGAAAGCAATGGGAGTGACCACCAATCTCCTGGTTTGCTTAAATATTTTTAAAACACTTTCTTTTGTTGTTGCTATGCGTTATAGAGACAGTTCTGACTCATAGTGACCCTGTATAGGGTTTCCAAGGCATGGCTGGTAGGTTTGAACTGATGACCTTGCAATTTGCTGTTCAGTGCTTATCCTGTAGCGCCACACCAGGACTCCAAACACTTCCTTAGGTCTATCAAAATTGAAACTATAACATTGTGTTTAGAGTTTTCCACTCTTCCCAGAACTGCATGGTGTTTCCACTCTGAAAGAGTTACTGCAGAATGTCAACTGCTATCTTACCACCAGGAAGGCCTTTGGTTTTGGTTTTGTGTTTCAGTCAATCAGAAGTATGCAGATTTTCACACTGCTTTTAACATCACTGCAGTCAACATCATCAGCTCCAGGGACTAAGCTGTTTTACCTGGTACCACAATGTGAACAGTGCCTGGAATAGAAGCAGCATCATGGATGCTCATTGAGGTGTTAAGAGTTAATGGAGCTTCTGTATAGACATAAAACAATTCTTCTCAACCCAGCTACTTCTCATAAATCTCAAATTATTATTGATTTTTGGGGGGCGGGGGAAGGGGTATGGTGTCTCAGGATCACAATCTCCCTTTTCAGTGTCTGGAGCTGTGTTCTGGATTCTTCCATTTAATTAATGAGTGTTAATTACTCTGATTTGCAAGCCCCAATACCTGAAGGCACTTGGAAAAAGGTACAGTAATTCTGGATAAGCAACTCTGAAAATAAATAGGCTTGAGGCTACCTAACATAATTCATTTCCCTTTTAATGATCTGTTTTATTTTAGAACTTAAAAAACATATTGCTCTAACTCCTATGAAACTTTTGGAAGGAGAAAAGCTGCTCCTTTCATTACTAACTACCATTATCTTTTGGCACACTGGAGTAATAAATTGATCTGTCACTTGATTATTACGGCTCACAACTTGGTCTGGCTTTGTTCATTACTTCAGAATGAATTATTAATGGCTTGAGATCTCTATGTATACCAGAGAGAAAGTACTAGACTTCAGTCTCTGCTGGCACCAGACATCCATTATAGCTTGACGAATTTACAGATGTGTGGGAGGCAGACTGGCAGAGCACTGGGAGGCCTGGTGAAGCCAGGGGCCACAAGACTCATTCATTAGTGAGGTCTATAAAACACCCAGTGCCTGCTTTCTGTTGTGGTAATCGAGTTGCTTGAGGTCTTCCTCATACAATCTAGGATATCATGTTGAGTCTTGACTTAATACCCATATACAGAAGTTTCCTGTGTATAGTGCATCCCACTGAAGGAGTTTTGACAGGGCCTTTCAGACCTCTGTACCCACAAGAACGACGCTGAGGTCCCTTCAAAAAGAACTGCCCATTCTACAGGATTCTTAGAGGGGAACAGAGAAACAAGTCCACATGTGACTTTACCTTGGGAGAGACACACAGTGCATTCTGTGGCCCTTACCACATATTCATCCACATCAGCTGGAGACAGTGCATCTCCTGAGGGGCATGCCTTCAGGAGTGTTGCCTGGGGATTTACAACCCATATTCCCTGCAGTTCCTTCATGAGATGCAATTAATAAGGTAAGAGTATGTTACAAAGAGGATGACCTTAGCAGAGGGTCTCTCTTGCTCCCTGTGTCTAGAGAAACTGTATGGAGACTCTGGGCTAGCCTTGTACCCCTTTGAGAGGCAGAGGAGGTAAATGACTTCAAGGTGAGGATGGTGTGGCAGCAGCAGTGGTCGGAGTACTTGAGGGGTGCAGACAACCCACTAATCAATGAATCCACAATTTCACAATTCACTAAAATGTCATGACTTACAATGTTAAAACACTGATCTAGCACTATACTGACTCCTGGTGTGGTGATGCAGGATCAGCACTGGACTCTAAACCATAGGCCGGCAGTTCAAGACTACCAACCACTCCTCAGAAACCCTGTACAGGGAAGCTAACATGGCACTTAACAGTCAAAAACACAATATAGAAGGAGCCCTGGTGGTGTACTGGGTTATGTGTTGGGTCAACAGTTCAAATACATCAGCTGTTCAGAAGGAGAACGATGAGGCTTTCTGCTCCCATAAAGATTTACAGCTTTGCAAACCCTACACTGGGTAGCTATGAGTCAGAACTGATTTGATAGCACAGAGTAGCAGCAATACTATATAGCACAAGTATTCCAATTTGCAAACTTGGAGAATTTGGCTAAGGAAGATAGTCTGCATAGTGGTTGCAGTCAGACAGACCTTACCAGCTGGGGTACAGTGGAGAAGTCACTTGGTCTTTCTGAACCTGTTTCATCATCCGCTAAATAATACATACCCCATCAA